CCCCCCCCCACTTGACAGCCCACTGACAGTGCTGGATTTATGCACCAATTTACCAGCTTTCGCCTGCAGTGCGCAGCTACCTATCCCCCTTCCCGAATCATCAGTGAACGGAACTGCGGCAGCTACAACCAGTGTACGACGAGTACGCGGTTGTTACTGCTGACGATGATGGATGGATGATTAATAGGGGGTTCAAGGTGGACGAATTCATTGTTACCTTCAAAAATTCGCCTCGGTCATCATCCAGCCAATGTCATGTGCACTAACAGCGTCTCGTTTTGAGTCACCAGATCTTTTCTTCAGTCAGAAATATTGGAATGTAAGGTGAATGACTGTTGCCGTTTTGGTAACAGCATTAGTTATTGGAACAAGGGAGTTTCTGGCTTCTTGGGGTGCCGTAAGTTTCATTTGATACCATTTAAGCATAAAATTGCAGTGCTAAACAAGTGACTATTAAACACAAAAGAAACTTGTTACGAAACATTAGCACACAAGTACATTCGAAAACAGCGCAGATATTGATCCGTGAGATCAACACCGAGAAGACACACTACTCCAATCGGCACCAACTCATTCAGTAATCGTGTTCCATTTAGTGACCTATTAACGTATCACTAGCCATGATTTCCATTGTAGGTACAGCAGCTGCAGGTCTAGAATGGCATAAATCTGAGTGATTCAATAAATGCGTTAGGAGACCACGCAAGATTGATGATTCATGGAGATATGGGAATGGAAATAGACTACAACTGTGGCATGAAAGCTGATTACCAAAAACTGCATTCAATTTAGTTTATCTCTTTCGAAAGTAAGGACTCTTTCGAACGAAAAAGGTTCTACATTAGGCAAAAATCTTCCAGACCTCAACAATAGATATCGAGAAATGTTTAGTAGCTTTTCATAAAGGAAACTATCACAAGGTTGCCGAAAACTCTTCGACAGCCCACGACCCGTTTCGCCCTTCTTGGGGCTCATCAGGTAGGCGCAGTCCCCAAGTTTCCGTCAATCTTATGTTCTACTTGAACCCAAACTGGACTGTTTTCGAGAAATACACTCATTTGCAAACCAATCTGGTTATCACGAGAGACTCTCGTTTACGACATTCTACAGCTGAATCTGCTGCACACAAGCCTCCTCATGATTCAGTTGGCACGATATTAGAGATATCGCAGTATATTTTCATAAAGGAAACTATTCACAAGTTTGCTGAAAACTCTCCGACAGTTTTTCCAATGAAGAACTTTCGTGGGCCATTACCCAAGCTAGCCACATGATTTGACCTGATTACGTGGGTGTTTACCAACGACCATCTAGAAATGTCATCAAAGTTGCAAGGGAGCGAAATGGTAAGGTAAATGCGTGCAACTGCTGGGAAGTGGCTGACTGATTTGTTCATAATGAACTTGGAAACGGTGAAGTCACTAACGGACGGGAGTTTGGAAATGAAATTCACATAAAATATCATTCAACCAGGTATGCAGTTCGATAGCTGCTTTATCTGGGCTGGCATTCGAAATATCGACGTAATATTCCACATAAAATCCGTGTTGACTGCCATTGTGGCCAACCTCTCAGAATAAGCCCATTAGGGAATTGTTTAAAAGCTCGTCTTGATTTCTTATCTCTGATGATTGAAAAGCCAACCTGGGTTGGACTTCTATGGCTCTCCAACAGGCAGTGCCCTCAGTAAACGATGACAGGTATTGCCTGCTTGGGTGCGACTAACTTTTTTCCATATGCATCTACATGATTCCCTCGAAATTGTGTAAGTTGTCCACAGTTTATATACCGGAGGAGATTTCGGAGTGCAGTAACGCAGGGACTCATGAAAAAAGCCAAGAACTCCAATGCTTTTGTTTCGCATGCTGTGCTACACCACGGTCGATTGGCTTCAGCTAGAAAATTCTAGATCGGTTTATGTGCGGCTAACAGACTGAACCAAATGAACCAATCATCCAGTGATCTCAGGCGAACCAAGAATATGAATATGAAAGCTCCAATTGAAGTGTGACATTTTAACAAGGAACACTTTGGTGGTACTTTGATACACTACGTCACCTGTGGCGTAGGCATGACATCAGCTTCTCTGTCAAGAGTCGAGTTTACAATGCTGCGGTGCGCTCCATATTACAATATGGATCAGAAACCTGGCCGCTGCATGCCGAGGACGTCAAAAGACTTTCAGTGTTTGACCATCGATGTCTTCGGAGCATTGCCCGAATCTGGTGGGAACACAGGATCAGCAATTCTGAAGTACGTCGAATGGTATTCGGGAGAAATAACTCACCCTCGATAGATGAACTGATCACACTGCACAGGTTGCGTTGGCTTGGCCACATGCTGCGTATGCTAGTCGACCGAATTCCTCGAAGGGCTCTTTTCGCCCAACCATGTGAAGGGTGGAAGAGAACCAGAGGCGGTCAAACAATGACTTGGCAGCGAAGTATGAAAGCCATTACCAGCAAACTCAGCTGCGCTGGTCATTGCCGTCTTCCTGGATGGGGACCCCGAGACGGGCCACATCAATGGCTAGAGACATT